AAAGGCCACACAGTAACCCTCATTCCCCTTCAACATGGAGAACCTGACCTTGGTCAAATCTGATGAAAATCTGGCATGGCAAGCCCATATTACAAACTGCTTTATCCAGGTTTCCGTAAGAGAATAAATGGACTTCTTATTTTGTAAGGATGAGGCCAGCTTCACAGAACTTGGAAATTCATCTGGCAATATTGGCTCTCTTGAGTATATTCCCTAAAGGCTATGGACACAAAGAATGAGGGTTCACTGTTCATAAAGAGATAATAACTGAATAATTGAAAGAGAGGGAGAGAGAAGTAGAGAGAAAAGGAGAGAGGAGGAGAGAAGGGAGAGAGAAGGGAGAGAGAAGGAGAGAAGGGAGAGAGAAGGAGAGAAGGAGAGAGAAGGGAGAGAGAAGAAGGGAGGAGAGAGAGAAGAAGGGAGAAGAGAGAAGGAGAGAAGAGAGGGAGGAGAGAGAGAGAGAGAGAGAGAGAGAGAGAGAGAGAGAGAGAGAGAGAGAGGAGAGAGAGAGAGAGAGAGAGAGAGAGAGAGAGGGGGGGGGGGGAGGGGGAGGGAGAGAGAGGAGAGAGGGGAGAGAGGGGAGAGGGAGGGAGGAGGGAGGGAGAGAGAGGGAGAGGGAGAGGGAGAGGGAGAGAGAGAGAGAAGAGAGAGAGAGAGAGAGAGAGAGAGAGAGAGAGAGAGAGAGAGAGAGAGAGAGAGAGAGAGAGAGAGAGAGAGAGAGAGAGAGGGAGAGGGAGAGGGAGAGGGAGAGGAAGAGAGAGAGAGAGAGAGAGAGAGAGAGAGAGAGAGAGAGAGAGGAGAGAGAGAGAGAGAGAGAGGGAGAGGGAGAGGGAGAGGGAGAGGGAGAGGGAGGGAGGGAGGGAGAGGAAGAGGAGAGGGAGAGAGAGAGGGAGAGGGAGAGAGGGAGAGAGAGGAGAGAGAGAGAGAGAGAGAGAGAGAGAGAGAGGAGAGAGAGAGAGAGAGGAGAGAGAGAGAGAGAGAGAGAGAGAGAGAGAGAGAGAGAGAGAGAGAGAGAGAGAGAGAGAGAGAGAGAGAGAGAGAGAGAGAGAGAGAGAGAGAGAGAGAGAGAGAGAGAGGGGGGGGGAGGCTAGCATTTATAGCTAATATCTAAGTTGTGATTACAGTTCCTATAAGCCTGGAAGATGCATATCTTACAAAACTAGTCATGTTATAAATCTTGTGAATGATTCTATTATTCAGGCACAAATAAGTTTGTTTATGTAAATTAACAGTGAATATCTTTAGTTAACTGTCCATTAAAAACCTTTTATGCTTCAAACTGCAATCATTGTCAAAACAAAAGAGTTCTAAATTGAGAGAGTCATCTTATTGGAAGTTAAGCTTAGACCTTTCTGCCTTCCCTGAAAGCCCTAGCTGGCGTGCTGTGCTATAGGATCTGTCTGAATTGGACACTTACATTGTCCGCTGCTCTGCCATATTGCTGCTGCTGAAGCTGACCCATAACGCTCTGGGGTTTTGATGTAAAAACTCCACCAATGTATGGTGCTACTCCACTCATCATTGCTGCTGAGAGATGGGGAGGGAGGAAGACTGGGGTGGCTTTGTGGTGTTCCATGGCTAGAGAGGAGAGGGTGCTCTGGACCAAAGGGGGGAATTGGAAACATGAATCCATACAAGGCAAAGGCTGTACCAATGGAGGTGTCGTTTGGGACTCTAAATGAGGCACACGGCTGCGTGCAGAATACACAACATTAGCCTGCTGAGAGGGAACAGGATGTAGAGGCAGCATATGGAACAGCACCTGGCTCGCTTCGCTGACCACCGCAGAGGCTGGCTGGGATGCTCCAAAAGGTGTTATTGAAGGCACAACTCCTGGCAGTGATGGCACCACGGAAGGCTGACATTGTAGAACAACTGGCTGGGAGGCAGGGACTCCTGGCATAGAACCAGATGCTGCAACTTGTGATGCCGATGTCCCCTGCTGAATCACTGTTACACTTGGTTCAGAAGATCCTATCCTTTGCGTAGAGTCAGCCTGTGTGGTAATCACTGTAGGCTGAGAGGCTGTAACTGGTAAGTGATAGGGTGCATCCTCTGGCTGTGCCTGCACTGCACTGGGCTGCATTGTTGAGGTCACCTCAGACACTGATGCTGACACTGCTGGCTGGACAAGCACAGCCGATGACAAGGGTGGCACAAGGCTGGTTGGCTGCACCAACTGCGTTGAGCTGCTGGGCAGGCTTATCCCACTTGCCCCACTTGCTGCTGTAGAGCTCAGAGTGTGCTCTGTGGGTGCAACTACTGCCGTGACCTGTGGCACTGAAACCACTAGGGGAGTTCCCCCAAGGGTTTGTGGCATTCCGACAGGCTGAGAAGATAACAACTGCTGTGAAGCAGCAAGTGACTGTGAAGCCACCAAAGGTTGAGACGCAACAAGGGGTTGTGAAGCAACTAGTGGCTGTGATGCAACTAGTGGTTGTGAAGTAACCATTGACTGTGAAGCAACAAGTGGTTGAGAGGCTACTAATGGTTGTGAAGCAACCAGTGGCTGTGAGGTAACCACTGACTGTGAAGCAACTAGTGGTTGAGGTGGAACCATTGGTTGTGGGACAACCATTGGCTGAGCTATGACTGGCTGTGTCTCTGAGCCAGCAGCAGCTTGGGACGGCATCCCCTGCGGCTGTGGCTGTGACACAGGCTGTGCCTGCAGTGCTTGTCCAGCAGATGGAGGAGGAAGTACATGTTGGGTGGACATCACTGGCTGCTGCGATGTCAGGCCAGTGGGTTGAGACATGACAGGTACAGTTGGCTGAGAAATATGCTGCTGTGACATCACACCAGAGGGGATAGAAGAAACTACCATGGGTACAGATGCCATGACTAGAGGGTGGCTAAGCACTGCCATGGGCTGAGAGGCAATCACCACAGGTGGTGAACCAATTATAACACCTTGTGAGGAAAGCACCTGGGACTGTGGTATAACCATGGGGTGCTGGGAGGTCATCAAGGGAGCCTGGCTCCCAGTCCCAACCTGTGAACTAATCTGACTGTAATATTCTGGCTGCTGTTGTGGCTGTGGTGGGGGCTGTGGTTGCTGCTGATCTACCTGTGGTTGAGTGGATTGGGGAGGTGGATGCTGCTGTGTTTGTTGTGGTGGTGGCTGTTGTGGCTGTTGTGCTGGTTGCTGAGGTGGCTGCTGCTGAGGTGGCTGTTGCTGCGGCTGTGGCTGCGGCACTGGCTGGTAAGCAGTTGTGGTCAGGTAGGCCTGTGAGACAGATGAACCAGTAGTGCTGAGGGCCTGCTGGTACTGGGGCTGCTGGTAGGCAGCGCTCACAGGTTGGTATTGTGAGGAACTGCTCTGGTAGCTACCATATCTGTAGTTTCCACCATAAAACTGTCCATCCTAAAAGAAATGTAAAAAAAGGAAGATAAGTAATTTGTGTATAACTCATAGTCACTCTAAAAATGAATAAATACAATATTCAAACCTGACTGATGATACAAAATTATTTAAGTACCTTATGTCAATAAGTGATAATAATTGATATGGTTTTCCAACAGATAAATCAATCTTCTACTAGATAACAGTGATTCTATGTGAATTCTGGTGCAAACCCTAAAGGCCACATGAGATCCTCCATATTACATTCATACAGAACTATTCGATAAAATCATGCAGGAACTGTCATAAACTGACATGCTGTTTTCCCCTAGCATCTTTGGCAAAGACCAAATGGAAGGTATGTGTGCCTTTGCAATTTATTATTATCATTATTATTTCTTGTCATTCTACCATTTCTGTAAAATATAAATTTTCTTTCTTTATACGTACTTGTCCTATCAGTGACATATGCATAATCTAATATGGAATATCAAAGACCAAAGTAGAATGGCAACTTTAGGATTAGTGTAATAAGTTTCAAACTGAATCAGCAAAGTATCTGTGGAATAACAAATAAATAAAATATAAAAATTATGTAAATAACATAGCCTACTTTCCATGTTATAATTTCTAATTTACTTAAAAAACAAACAAGCTGCATACCTGTGTAATGGTCTGTTGTCCCTCAGTTCCAGCTGTGAGGGTGTAATACCCAGATTCTCGAACCCCATCCCCTGAAAAAGGAATCGCCATATTATGTAAATACATCTCCTCCACATGTCATAAGAGTGAGGTTCCATCACTGCCTTTCTATGAACGAAATGCAAGAAAAATATGAGAAAACACAGTAGCGAATTATCACTTCTGAATGGGCTGCCTCTCAATGATATGACAGTCCATAGGCAAATTCTGCAGGAGCACAGGAACTCATTTAAGAGGTGAATAACTCAGAAAGGCACTACAGGCCTATCAGTACCTTGTTGCTGTTCTCCGGAGATAATCGATTCCGTAGTCTTCTGTGTCTGGCCATCCTGCTGAGTTGTCTGTTGCTGAGTTTGCTGTTGTTGTGGCTGACTCTGCTGCTGTGGCTGTTGTGTTGCCTGCTGTTGTGCTTGTTGACTCTGCTGTGGCTGCTGCTGCTCCACAGGTATTGGTTGTGCCTGTTGCTGTGTTGTCTGTTGCACTTGCGGGGTCTGTTGTGGAAGTGAAGTCTGGTGTTGTAGTGTGGGTTGTTGTGGTTGCTGCTGTTGTTGCTGTGGTTGTTGCTGAGGTTGCTGTGGCTGCTGCTGTGGTGGCTGTTGTGGTTGCTGTGTTTGTGCTTGTGGTTGTTGCTGTTGCATCTGCATTTGCTGTTCTTCCAGTTGCTGTTTCTCCTTTTCCATGTTTTCCTTCTTGCGCCTCTCCTCGCGCTCCCGAGTGATATTCTGGATTTGTGTCTGGATCATCTTGGCCACAGACCTCTCATCTTCCTCTAAGATCATCCCCATTTTAACCTGCAGAGAGGTACTCAGTAAGAGAAGACATTTAAAAACACAAACACAATGATGATATTCTTTAAATATTTGTTCATGTGAAAAGCTACACAACTTAAGAAAGAAAAAGAATATATATATATATATATTATATATATATATATATATATATATATATATATATATATATATATATATATATATATATATGCATAACAGTATAATATAAAGAAATAATAAAAATGCAAAGTATTTTCTATTTCATGTCAAATCTATGACTAATATCTTATTCACATACCAAGAAGATATATAAACAAAAGATTAGAGGTCCAAAGACAGATATCCATAACTATCACTTTTATTTCCAGAATCTTCTCTTTAAATATATTTTGCAACATAACACTTACCATGCCTTCAGCAATCTTGTCTGGGTTATCATTATTTATGTCAAAGTCAAACTGAATAGCTTCATTCTCTTTATGCTTATCTTTTCTCTTCTTTGCATCAACTACTCGTAACCTGAGAGAGAGAAAATAATTATAACATATATGTATCCCACAGAAATTCAATTTTCAATTTCAATTTATGGGTGTTTGTCTTAAATGTAATAAATTTCTTAATCATTTATCTATCTCTTTGTTACTGTCCTTTGCCACATACCTAAGCACAACTTTTCCTGAATCCGAGGCAACAGCTTCTTCTTTATTACACAGGTCAACTTTGATGCCTGTGTCTTCTTGGAAGAATTCATGGTTTAAAAGATCTTTCACAGTTGGTCTGGAAAACAAGTTATAATGAAATAATTAACTGGTTACAAAAACACAGCACGACAAGACAAAATAAAAGAACAACAACAGTTAAATCTTATGATGATGATGTTTTCAGGGTGACACTTTCATGTCCACCACCATTATTCCAGGACAATTTTCACTCAATATCCCAATGTTAAAGCCTTAACTCGGAAATCCCTCCTTCAGTGATTCCTCTTTGCACTACATCTTCCGGTATAAATCCCTAAATCATCTTATTCCATACCAGAGTAATAAAACAAGAAGCCCAGAAGGAATGTGATCCAGCATTTGTGACTGCTTGTCCATTGTGGACAGATAGACTAGTGTGAAAAAAAGCTCAGAACCCTGTTCTACTTAGCAGGACAATTCATCAACTCAGGACTGCTAGAAATGAGTTTATTTATAAACAAAGAAGATGACTGACATCATAAAGTAACAGCTTTTATCACTTGTTAGGCCAAGTTTCTAGGTCATTTGCCTCAATTGGACAAGCAATTTCAAATGCTTCAAGAGAGAAACCACCTGACTGAAATTTTATCACTTTCTGCTACAAAGGCCAAAACTAGGGGAGTGATTAAGCAGTGTTCTATATGCAGTTGATTGTCTTCAGTTCTTGGTGGTTCTTTTTCCTTTGCAGAGCAAAGAACAAAGATCATGTAATTTTTAATTATAATGAGAACAGCCTTATTCTTTAAATTTTGATCAAATATATAAAGCATCACACATTCTGTCAGTTTATACTGTTTTGACAAATTTCTTTTTCTTTAGCTGAAACTACAACTTATTTAATGTTCTAATACTGTTATCACTATAAGTATCTTCTTTAATTCAATTATGACTGATGCATTTGATCATATGCACCTAAAATTATTTAGGAAAACATGTTCATAATCATGATAAATCATAATGATTAATCATCAACAATCATCTTACTAATTCTCATCAAATAACTATTCTCTTAATATATGCTAAGACAATGGAACAACACATGCATTGTCTATTAGCCAATTTACAGTTTGGCCATTAAATGCTGTACAGTGTAAGGTGATCTTTGTGTAAAAAAAAGGTATATGGCACCTCGGCTTCCATAGATATTTTCCTAAAATAAACATTAAAGGAAGTTTCAAATAACACTGTTGTAAAAAAAATCATTGAGGTTAAGTTATCTCCCATATACACTCAAGTTAATTATATAAACCCTCTATAATTTCCATGTCTTATTCAAGTCTGATATTCCATCAAAACAAATTGCAACCTAAATTCAGAAAAATTTATATGCATATAAGTATCTATACTTGGTCTTGAGCTCTGTTCTGATGCCAGTTGGCTCTTTTCTGTCTTTCTGAATTATGCAAGATCACTTATCTAGCTGTCTGTACTTCTATACATACACAAAAATAAAAATAGAAAATCAAATCCTACATGTCTCCTCCAGATCCACGAGATCCAAAACTGGTTGAGGATCCGAGGCTTGAGTATGGACTTGAGGCCAGCATGCGGTCCAAAAGAAACTTCCTGAGGGACCAGTTCTTTCTTGGGCTCTTCTGTGGACTAGGAGGTGACCCTGGATCCACACACTGCGGACATTCTGGATCTACGCACTGCGGGCACATGCAAGGGCTGGAGGGAAGGCTAGAGGTGTTGCTCTGAGTCTCATCACTTTGGCAACTATGAGATGTGAGCTGGATAACTGGCAAAGGAGAAGCAATGTTTGCAGGTGGCCAGTAAGATGGCTGACTTGAACATGGAACCATCTCCAGATTCTGGCTTACAAAAGCAGATGAAGGAGGCTTTGCCATGTGTCCAGCATGCTTATTTCCTGAGTAGTGTAGCATGTCTATTGCAGCCTGACAGAGATCTTCATTTTCTTGGCCACCATATTGAATTGGTTCATCTTGCATAGATTGGGAAAATTGAAAATACACACCTGGGCTACCAGGTCTACTCACAGAGAACTTGGCTGCACTAGGCGGTGAAACAGAATATGTGGGCACTTGTGGATTTTCATTTACTGTTGAAAAGACTTGTCGGGGTTTTATCTGCTGCACAGGGTAATGATATGGCAATCCGGGGCTCCCTGGTCTGCTGCTCCTGTATGCCTGTATGTATGGGGGGGATGTTGGATGAACAACTGTACAAGGTGACACCGGACGGAAGTACTGAAAACTGTCATTCTGACACTCCATCCCACTTGGCTGATTCATACAAGTGGCAGAATGCCTGTATCCATGGGAGTAATCATTGCCATTTCTGCTGTCACTGTTTAGCCTTGAATCTTCACCTTCCTCAAGAAATACTCTTGGTGTTGTACTAAAGGCAAAAGAATTATCTGCTCTTCTATGACTGTAGTCATATGCATTGGACTTTGGAGGTGATACTTGTGGCCACATGACATACCCATGTGGCATGTAGCGAAATGTCTGGCATGGAATCGGCACAGCTGCACTCCTGCAGCCAAATGTTCCTTGCTGAAATGGTGCTGGACTGCTGGCTGTGCGAGTTCCAAATCTTGTTGGGACAGAGTGGGACCTCACATGATGCATCCAATGTGATGCTCCAAGCCTTTGTTCTGCTCTTCCTCTAGGATGCCTCATCCTTTCCTCTGAGCTGCTATTCCACGTCATATCTCTCCGAAAGGTGTCTTCATTATTCACTGTTTGTAGGGGCTGCATGTAAACTGATGAGGTTAGGAAGTTATCACCAGATCTGCTGCTACTTAAAAGGTTACCAACACTACTCCCTCTGCCTAAGACACCCCTGCCTCCTCCTCCCATTTCTCTGGCTCCTCTTTGCAGGTCCACCATTTCATGCATGACGATCCTTTCCTTCTTCCTTGCTCCTCTGTAATCCACCCTACTCATAAGACCTACTCTCTGGTAATCAGCATCAGCTGATTCATGCATCTCTTGACTGGCACCACACACAGAACTGTTCACAAATCCACTTTCTTTCTCTTCATTTTCGGTTGTGAAGTAGATGTCTTCAGAGTATACACGGTGCACAGCTCGGCGCAGCATTGCTATTTCCCTCCCCTGCTTTTCTTCTTACTAAGCAAAAGCCATACATTTCCAAGGTCTGATCATGGACTACATCAACACCAAAGTTTTAAGACACAAAGAAATTACTTCTTGCTGGTCACTGTTTGGCTCAAGGTTCCTCATTTATCAGAGTAACATCTGTCCAAGTACCAAAGCAAGACAGGACTGGCCTTAGCCACCAGACTAAACCCCTCCCCACCCTGACACCTACAGAGCGTGTCAGCCCATGGACTTGTATTACAACAACATTCTTTGACAGTTTGAAAAGCTTTTTAAATATCCTAATTTCTACCAGAGGGATATCTGAAACCTTTTTTCAAGTTCCATAATCTGGAACAAAATCATTATGAACACTGATCAGAATATGTCACTCTCTGGTAGTTACACAGTCAGTGACAAAATAACATAATGCAGTCGGAAGAGATAGCTACATTTGGTAAGTATTTTATATAAACAATGGACATGACCCCACCCCCTCCCAAGTGCCACACTCACAAATTCAGAGTTAAAAAAAGTCAATATCATGCAAAATGCAATATCCATTTCTGTTTTCTGCCAAACTCAAGACATATGATAGCCTCTTACTCATCATGCATAACATAACAGGAAATGCCACAAACCCATTCTTAACTAAAGACAGTATGGCATTTGATAGGATGAATGAAAGAAGATTTTTCTTCATAGAATCTTAAAGGTTTACTCTATCTCTATCAATTCTGGAAAAAAAAAAAATTCTAAGGATATAATAACTTTCAAGTGAAGTGTCTTGATTACTTGAAAGTAATACAATGGAAATAAACATAACACTTTAAGTTCAGAAAGTGAGCCAAAAAGGTTAAAGAGGAAACAAAGAAAGAGAAAAAAGAGAAAGAAAGAGTGAGATAAAAAAGAAAGTAAAAAAAGAGAGAGAGAAAATATATATTCAAACACTGCAAGGAATCCTTTATGAAGTATTCACTTAGGCCCATAGCTAATAATATTAAAAAGAGATAGAGAGAGAGAGAGAGAGAGAAAAAAAAAACTCAAGGCAGAGACCTGGAACTTGTTTTAAAGGGCCCTCTCCTCCCCCCAATCCCCTCTACCCCTCAACCTGTCTCCTTCCCTGCCCTGTTTCTCTCCAAAGCCTTGTAACTTAATGCAGCCACCCAACCACTCGATTCTCGCAGCCACAGCCACTCCACAACCACCTTTAATCAGTCATACTATCTGGCTTTCCTGTTAATCTGTCTGTCTGTGTTTCCTTCTCTCTCATTATCTGTTTCTACCTGTCATATCTTTCCTCTAAGTCCATCTCCCCATTCACTTTGTTTGTCTGCCTGTCTTGTTTTTTCTTTCTTTCTTCTACCACTATATTTACCACTGTCTACTTTTAAATATCTTTTCTCTCTGTCTATCTACTTCTATTCCTCTATCTAATCAACCCTCTTAATGCTCACCCCCATTTGCTTTCTCTCTTTTAATCTCCATCCCTCTGGTAGTAACACATCATCATCATCATCAAAAAAGAATTTGGGCAACATTTTCCAGGCAAAACTTCAATCAACCTTACCTCTCCTCATTGTGTAATCTTGTGCACCAATCTATGATATATTTCACATCTTCATCCTCGATCTTGAAGAAGCTTTGTGGCCGTACACCCTGCAAAGACAAATACAAGGCAAAGTTAAGCATATGGATTTGTCTTAGTGGGGAAAATAACTATTAGTAAAAATAGCAAATATTTATTTGAATAAACAAAGATATTTGGAAACAGATACTCACAGTTGTCACTTTCTTGTAAATCTGGGCAGGTCCGGAGCATTCATTGTAGGGGTACTCCAATGTGGCCATCTCCATCATGCACATGCCAAAGGCGTATACATCCACCATCTCATCGTAGTGCTCCTCATACACTTCAGGTGCCATGAACTCCGGAGTACCTTTAGGTGAGATTTTTTCTCTTTCAATATTGTTAGGATTTGAGTTTTATATAATAATAAATAAAGAACAGATAGAAGGTTTTACAAACATATGGTCATCCATACAAAGTTCACTTGCATATATAAGTAGAATATGTACATTGACATCTACACATAGCTACAAACACACACACACACAAATAACAAGACTCATTAACTAATGCACATACATCACACAAGCAAGCACTTATCCAAATGCAAATGCCTATTTCGTAGAATTATGTTGCTAACCACCTTTTCCGGCCCAATAAATTAATTAAAAATAATAAAAAATCATATCAATTATTTCAATTATAATCTTTAAACATGTCAACAGAAATGTAATTGTTCTGCAGCTTTCAAACATTTCCAATAAATAGAAAATCACATCATAAAGTTGTGTTCTTAACAACAGCAAAAAAAGTCGTAAAGAAAGTGAAATAACATACCTCCTCCATCTGAGCTTCCATGTATCAAGCCCAACCAAGAAAATGACTGTGGTTCAATCACATCATCCCCAATTCCTTTTGAACTTACCAATAACAGATTTGGCACAGGATCTGTTCTTCAAAGTAGCTAGCCCCAAATCTCCTATCTTGACAGATCCGGTAGTTCCAGTGACGAAGATGTTGTCACACTTGAGATCTCGGTGAATGATAGGAGGGGAACGAGAGTGAAGGAATTGGAGACCTTTTAGAATCTGCCGGCACCAGCTCTTTAGCACCTTCAGGTTTACTTTGCGTAGTCGACGCAGATACCTGAAAAGGAGCAAGGCATTTAAGAAGAGTTAACAAATATTTTCAACTTCAGTTTAGAAAAACAGCAGCACATAACAGCTGTTTCATGAAAGGATGTATGGAAATCTATTCATATAAGAATATTTTTGTTATGTGAATGATGAATTGATCTAAATCATATGCCAGACTTTTATTTCTACATAAGCATGACCAAGTAAGAACTAAGAGCTATCTTTTTGTTCTTTTGATAGCAGTCTCACTCAAACAAAATAGTACAGCAATCCTCTCCCCTCCACTCCGCTAACACTTCACACAGTGACACAAACTAGGCAGCAATCATGACACATACAATCTACTTGCTGGATGTATAGCACTGGCAATGAAAGGGTTAAAAGAAGGCATTTGCCAGATATTTTTTTGTGTGTGAATAGATGCACTTTTCCTTTACTTTTAATTATATGTTGGTAAATACTTAGACTGTATTAATAAAACTGCAGTACGCATTCGCAATGGTTAAAAATTTGAATGCAAGTTAACATGACTACAGTGTGTTAGCATGTGTCACTCAGAGCCTGGAATATTGCCTGACTCATGGCCAAGCACCTGAGGTGCAGGTACCTGAGCTGATGAAGTTTTAACATCATCTTGCATCAGTAACATTTTATTAAAATTGGCTTTGATAAGAGGAATGGTGCAGAGACAACTGAAATAGCTTCTGCCTCTTACTCAACTTTCTTTAGCTCTTCCTAAAAATAAATTTCTATGAATCAGCCATGCTTATGCTCTTCTACTATATATATATATATATATATATACTGTATTACATCTGAATTACCTGACTACTACCAAAAGAAAGAAAAATATAGACATATTAAAGAAAAGAAAAAAATGAACAGAACATCGCCTTATAAAAGACTGTAAAGCAAGTGCTATCTCAAGTACATATCAGTTTTCTAAATCATGTAACTATCAGTTCAAAACCTCTATTACTCACTGCTAGCCCATTAAGATGACTGATGAAACCCTTATATTTTCAACAGCAATCTGATTTGACACTCTGCCAATAGCATATAAAGCCTGAATGGTGATTGCAAGAGGAACTAAAATAGTCTGAGTTGAAGATAACACCACCCTATAAGCAGCCTATGATTGCACTGTCACTACTTAAGTCTGATGACACTT